GAGATCAACTCAAGAAAGAATTGTGCGAAGAGAATTGGATTGTTTTAAGGTATGTTTGGTACTACGAAGACCCATATGTAATTATTCCTAAGCATCTTCGAGAATTGGGTCTCATTGAAACTTTAAATGCGAATTACTAATCCCACTTGCTATATTGTTTTGATCAGAATCATGAGACATTTTATTTGAAATTTTATTTTTTGCAATGCTTGCATAAGCTACACATATTTACATGATTGGCGATATTATTTATTAAGTAAATACTAACGCTGATATTAAAAATCAATGAATGTATTATAGTAACTAATCAAAGAACATTTACGTTCTTTTCACTAGTTTCCTGAATTGTGACGTCCCCAACGTAGCTCGACACCATTTGATGGCTTCTATAGAATCATCATCTTTCTTTTGTTCTTTCATTCGATTAATATCATCACGAGTCCTCTTGACTTCACACTTATATTTTCCCTAAATTTTAGAAAAGTCGTTGAAAAAATGATTGAGCTAAGAAAAACGCTCAAATATTACATCATACATACCGCAAATGTAAATAAATTATCAATACCATTGATGAACTGTCCACAGGTCTGAAAAGACTTGGGAAGCTCAGTATGGCCAACATCGATCATTAAATAAAGTCCGGGAGCAACCAAAACCATAATATAGCCGGTCCATGATGTCACTACCAACATAAACAATTTAGCAACGGATAAAATAAAACAATTATATAAATAACAGAAATCATTACCAATGCTTTGCCATGAAAAAACAATACGGTCTTTTCCTAACTTCTTAACCAGTATATCAAGAGCATCTTTCATGAAGACGCCTAATCTGACGAGATCCAAGTTGTTCTTCTTGGCTTTATTGTTTTTTCCTTCTCCGGTTATCTCTCCAAACATCATTTCGTAGCTAGATTTGTTATTATTCACTATATTGCCGATCATATCCGGCTGTTTTGCCCGTGAAGGGTCAAAATTGGCAAGCTTGCGAACCTTCGAACTCATACTAGCTGTATTTGGCCATCTACTTGGATGTATTGTGGCGTTATGAAAGAAAGAACGCAATATCGGACTTATTATGTTATTAGTCAAAGTGCCTTCACTAAGAAGGTCATCCAATGGATTGATGGGAATATTTTTAACCCTTTAGAATAAATAAAATAATGTTAATCAGACAGTTAGGAAGAACGGATAAAAAAGCATCGTAAGTTTAACCTACAGCTGTAAAAAAATAAATCGCATGATTCCAAACTTTTTCTGATCAGTGGTATCTTGGAAAGATTTCGCAAATGATCCTTCTATAGCCTTTTCAACATCTTCCAAACCGAGGTCTTCATCGAGCGCAATCTAATGTGATAGAATAATAATAAATAAATTTATGATATGTAGGTTTTTAAAATTTGATACGTTAATAACAAATAAAGTAATAATACTTCAATGTATTCCCGAAATAATGCTTTAACATCTGGTGCAACTTTTGTCTTCACTGCGTATGAGTTACGCATGTTTTTCCGTAATTGTTCTAGAGTATCTCTAGAAAATTCTTGTATTTGAAGGTCCGAGAACTTGTCGACTTGCAACAGCAGAATGTAGGATAAACTCCTAAGATTCCGGCAAACTCTTGTCAATGATAATTCTCATAAAGTTGTGTTCTTAAAGTCTAACTTACAATATTTCACAATAATCCGTCTCGATTGATAAGCCCGACTACCGTGCAATTTGACATGCATTTGAACGATATGAAGCGAATAATGCAGAGATATTGATCTCCTGAAACATATACTAAATTACAACCACATTTATATTAGCAAAGATCAAAGTATTTTAACTGGTAGGGAAGAAAAAGAAACTTACGGGATTATCATAAAAGTTATCAGATCCATCCGAATCGTTCAAGAAAACTCTCTCCTGATCATCGTCGTCATCATCCACACAATCACGATCCACATATTCATCCTTCCCATCTATAAATTCATCAAATGTGAAATTTTTAGGGTCTCGATCATCTGCGTCAGAATCATCATTGTCAGTTTCTTCACTTTCACTTCTTGTGGTGGGAGAAACGATGGAACTCGAAGAAAATATTTGTTGTTCAGGTGTTCGTGGTGGATGGGGAGGAATGACAACGCGTGGAGGAGGAATTTTAACATGGAAATAGGGTTTGTAATCCTCACCATCCATTTTTCTCCGTTTTGATTCTTCATTATTGTTCTAAAGATTAAAATTCATTAGGAACATGACAAAAAAAGTAGTTCTAACTAAATAAAATACAACACCTCTTCCTGGTTTCTTTTTGACTTGTGTTCGGAAAAATTAAAAGATCCACCGCTAATACTACCAGAGTTGCCCATCAGAGGGTTCCCTGTAAAGGTAGGATTATGGAGGTGAAACGAGGATCCACCAATTGTACCGGTTTGGTCGTGATTATTTCTCCATTTTCTTGCAATTTGGTAATCGGATCGATCGCCCTAACGAATATTCAAAGAATTAATAACATGTTCTAACAGTATGTCACATATTTTTTCTCCCTAGTTTCCATCCCACCAGGTCAGCGAGAAACCTTGAACATCAGACAACCGAGAAAGTTATCTGTGCCCCAATGGGACCAGTGCTAATTCAGCGAGAAACCTTGAACATCAGACAACCGAGAAAGTCATCTGTGCATCAACACTGGTTTTGTGGCTCAGCGAAAAACCTTGAATGACAAAAACCGAAAAAGTCCCTGCCACGCCACTATTTCACTATATTTCTGACAAAAGATATTACTTGCCATTCTATATTTGTTTAGAAGTAGAATTGCTCTCTCTTTCCTTTTGCCTGTTTCGTAATCTGCGATAATCTTAAGAGATTTGAGGTAACGATCTATTTTGATATCAAATTGTTCTATATCGCACTTATTAAGGAAGTCCTCAATATTCCATTCCGAAAAGGTTCGTTTAAAATATTCATGTATTCCGGACATGATTATTACAAGGTCTTAATGAAAGTAGGTAGTATAGGATCATTAGTTTTTAAAAATACATTAGATGATCCGATAATCAGCACACAGATGATTTGCAGAGTATCAGTGTAGGCTTATACAGCTGGGTAAGAGCATGGATTTTAAAATTATTTGTTACACAATATACAATCCCTACCCCTCACACTGATTCTTCACCATGTAAAAATGTCTTCTGACGAATGGAACGGTGCCCAGGTTCGCTTCCTTATAAACGAAAGAAAAGAAAGAAATTCTGAATTCCACTCCACTCCAAATAAAAAGAAACGTCTCTTTTGGGAAGATGTCGCTAGGAAGCTAAATGAGCAAGAGAATACAAATTATTTCACTA